TATCCTGCAATGCATTTCTTTTGGAAGACTGGTACTGGCACTTTTAAAAGGTCACATGTAACTTGTAAGCCCTGATTTTCTGGCTTCCTCAGTAATATGTATCACCAAATCACAGAATAGTTGAGGTTGAAAGGCACCTCTGGAGGTCATCTTTTCACACCCCCCTGCTCAAGCAGGTTCACCTAGAGCCAGTTGCTCAGGGCTGTACACAGACGACTTTAGAGTTTTTCTAAAGATGGAGACTCTGCAACCTCCCTGGGCAACCTGTACCAGTGCTTGGTCACTCTCGCAGTCGAAAGTTTTCCTGATGTTCAGAGTCCTGTGTTTCAGTGTATGTTCATTGCCCCTGGTCCTGTCACTGGGCACCACTGGAGAGAGCGTGGCTCCCTCTTCTGTACACCCTCCCTTTATATACGTTGATTTGATCCCTGCAAAGCTTCTCTAAGCTAAACAGACCTGACTCTCTCAGCCTTTCCTCATATGAGAAGTTCTCCTGGTGAGTTACCTTAGTGGCCTTTCACTGGACTCCCTCCAGTACATCCGTGTCTGTCTTGTACAGAGGAACCCAGAGCTGAACACAGTAGTCCACATGTCTCTCACCAGTGATGAGCAGAGCCCTGAACCTGCTGGCAACACTCCTTCAGCTGCAGCCCAGGATACCATTTACCTTCTTTGCCTCAGGGTTCATTGTCAACTGGATGTTCAAGAGCACCAGGTTCTTATTTTCTGCCACACTGCTTTTCCAGCCAGTTGGTCCCAGCATGTGTTAATGCATTACAGGGTTGTTCCTCCCCTGGGACAGGATGTTGCACTTCCCTTTGAACTACATGACTAGGAGGGAGATGATAATATTTTGTATGAGGTTTTTATGTTAGTACCAGAACTACTTGAGTAGAGCCGTTTGCCCTTTTCGATTTAAGGAATGACAAAGTTATTCAGAAGAGCTGGTGGCTGTACTGTTAGCTTCTAGGAGGGAGAGAAAGAGAAGTATATTCATGACTCTTACTAGCTTTACCTGCTGGTGTCATGCTGTTCAGGTGATAATGGCAATAGACTGCTGACAGTGATTGTTTATTCGGTCTTAAGAGACTTTAATAGGCTAGACAAACACGTTAAAGGACTTGCGTGTGTCTGATCCTGCAGTATGACGGCACTGTGGCATAAAGGATCTTTTGAGTCTTTTGCTGATGACTTTTTTTTTTTTTGTTGTAACGATTGCACTTTCATGTACACTGACATTTTAGTCTAATTTCCTCAAGATGTATTTCTGCTACACTTTGAGCTCAGATGTTTGTGTTCAAGTTGCATCTTTGAATCATTAGCATTTGGGCAGCGGTTTGTGGAAGTTTTCCAACTAGCGGCTTCTTATAAACATCTCTCTCTCCTGCCAATACCAGACTTGATCTCTCTCCTATTCCCCAAGAAAGGTAATGTTCAGATAAACTGGAGTACATTTATACATTTCTTCTCTTTGGACACTGGCTGCCTACTATCTTGGTGAATCTGGGAGTAATCTCTACTGAACTTACTGGGACTTTGCTTCTGAAAGATTCTCTCAACCTGGGAGTTTGTTGGTTTTGTGTTTATTTCTTCCCGAAGCACCAGCAGAAGCAATAATCTAGCTTTCGCTTAAATCTGCAAGACTAAAAGGCACTAGCAAGGCATTACAACAACTGTCGAGGTCATTTTTTAAATACAACCATTAGAAGAAATCTGGGAATGAGCATGGAAAAACATCTGGATTCTGATCCTGTGTTCATATCTGTGGATCACTTACAGGCTTTGTTGTTGAAAGGGATCTATAGAGTTGCACAAGTCTTCACTCCTAGGTCAGACTGGGAGATTAGAATCACAGTTCTCTAGTAGTGTTTTTAGAGATGCTTTTTTACAGATATCTGGAAGATGCCAAATTGTTCTAATAGCATCACAAACTTACTTACTGCTTAGTTGTTTGTGGGGGTTTGGTTTTTGGTTATCTTCTTTTTTTTCTTATGAACCTGTGAGTTAAATAATGCAAGGATAGATTTAGTCACTGCGGTTCTTACATAGCTTTGAGGGTAAATGATACAGGAAGGCCTCTTCTGTTCAAAAGCTAAACAACTGTTCAGCAGTGGAGAGGAAATAATAAACTTTTGCTAAAGCTTTACTGCAGTGACTTACTGTCCAATAGAGTGGAGTTATTTAAAGCACTAGGAGTCTTTGCTTTGTTAGAAAACACTCCTGCAAACAAACCAGCTACGCTAGGTCTTTTTTGGAAGGCAGTGCTCTTCTAACTTGGTATCCTAGAATTTAGCAAACCTGTTCCCACAGAACTTCAGATATTAATCTAAAGTCAGTAGCAGAATAGGAAGCTGCATTGAGAAGCAGAGTCCTTCATGCTTAATCTTGAAAGGTAGTTCTCTTTCAGACATTTCTGTATATTTATTCCATGGACATGTGTACCCTTTAAAATTACCTTTTGTGGTTCTTTCTTGCATTTCCAAAGCAGCTCGTGGTGTATGTAAATTGTTAAGGGGTAGAAAGCTCTGGATTCGTATTTGTATTCAGTGAGTTTGGAGCAAATAATGTTACAATCATTCTTTGATTTTATTTTTTTTTAATTTTTAATAGCATTTGGATTAAAAGTAGGAGAATTAAACAGTTCACTTCTTTATCTTTTTCTCAAACAGATCCCAGTTATTAGATGCACTGCTTATCTGTAACATACAGACATGTTTACTGGCTGACCAACCCAGTAAGCATAAAAGCATTGCTGCAAATACCTCTTCAGACTAGTGTCTGGTGATTTGCTTGTTTTATACAGGTCATACTCCTTTTTAAATATAGTGAGCAATTAAATTGTAGTTGTGATAAAAAGGTTGTCATGTTGGCTGGCAGGTTTTGGATTTGCAAGGGGAGAAAATGGCATTGGGAAGTGTTGGTTTAAGTCCATGCTTTGTTTAAAAACAAACCTTTGTTTCTGAAAGGAAAACTGGAAAGCTTTTTACTCAGATTGCTGTCTGCAATTCTAGATGGTTGTCTTCATTATTAGTGCTTGTAAAATTGCTTGTTCAGGAAGGCTTTAAAAAATAATTTCCCTGAAGAGGCGCCAATGTTGCAAATGTAAATTAAAAAGAAAATAACTGACCTTTCAATATTATACATAGCAGGATAAGCAAAAAGGGGTGTGTGTGTGTGTGTGACATTCCACAATTTTTCTGTTACTTGGACGTTTTGGGAGATAGGGAGCTAGGATTTTTTCAATGGGTTTGTGATTTTTTGTTTGTTTTAGGTGTACAGTGATGTCTCTCTTGAGTTACATACTTGGTTCAGTTTGGTTACATACAGGCTAGTGGTTCTGGTATCACGAGAGTGGGAAAAGTAGCAATAGGATTATTTTCATCATTAAAGTCTTTGTATTTAACCACAACTCAAAAAAATGGAGGAGGATGCATCTTGTTTTGATTTTGTTCAGCAGCCCATTCCCTCCCAAGGCAGTGAATGGCCTATCCTTATTATGAGCTATACTTTTGTTTCTAATGCCTAGAAAAATTGACATTTTGAAATTGCACGTAAAAATGTACTTTTAGTGAAAAAAGTTCTGCCTATCGTTATGTTTTATTACAAATGCTGGCAAATCTACTCTTCTGTGTCCTTCATCTATTCACTTAGTGATTTTTAGGTGGAAGGCAGAGAAGAAGAGAGGTATACCAGGGCTGGTCATGATTTTCTTCTATGATGTCGTACCTTTACTCTTTTACTACTTGCAGCTTTTATTTTCAAGGCTGCATTGACAATATTTGTGGACTCAGGGATATTTTCTTTCTCAGCAGTAATTCTGGGAATAGTGGCTTTTTCCTCTTGAGCCTTTTTCATTAGGTATAAATGCTAGATCAGTTCCTTTTTGTATAAAATAAACTGAACTTAACTTTAAACATTGCATTTTAGATTTGGTTCAATGAAAATGTGTTGTGTTTTTTTTGTTGGGTCTTTTTTTTTTTTTTTTTTTCCCTCCAGTTCACTCAATTGTGAACTTTAAGCAGTACTGACATCTGATATCTTGTTCCTACACTTGCTTACTGTCCCAGATGCTGGTTTATCTATAAAGCATCATATTTTGAAGCACCTCGGTATTGATAAAGCACAGTTGTAAACTGATTCATGCTAAGTGCTAGGTAGTAAAGTTTAAAAAATGTTTTGCTGTTATATTGAGACTATTTCTTGTAAGAGTTTCTCTCATCCTCTGATTTCTTCTCTGTTGCTGTAGTTTTATGTGAAATATTTACTGGAGTATATAGTGTCTGAATAACAGATCAAGCAAATGCATATTTAGCTTACTCCTTGATGCATATCCTGTAGCAAGTTATTTAACCACATTTGTGCAATGGAAGTATGTTAATTCAGTTGTTAATTTTGGACATTTGTGGGGTATTTCAACACCTCTAAGTACTTAAATTACAGGGCAAATATTGTAGGCACATAAATTCTTTGGCCATTAGTACATTACTGTAAATAAATAATACCTAGTTAGCTCAAGCAGATGACTAAGTTTGCTAACTCTGACACAGATTATTATCTTCTATTGTACAGGTTGATTTGGGGTCTGGTTAAGCAAAGCAGTGTTGCAGTATGATTTACAAGCTGCCAAGTAGCATGTTAGTATGGGAGGAAAGTATGAGGACAATTGCTGTCAACACTACAGAGAAAGTGTAGGGAGGAGACTCATGTCCATGATTGCCTGCCTTTCTACCTGCACAGGCTCAGGAGTTGGGTTCTGTAAATTTGCAGCTCTGAAGAAGAAAAGCATTAAACTATTGCAAATTATGATTTTGATAACTATTTCTTCAAATACCTACAAGTTTCATAAATGGTTTTTCTTCTGATAAATTTTGAGAAATCTTGTGATAATGGAATCAACAAAATGTGGCAGAAACACTGTTCCTGGAGTTACAACTTCAAGAAATAACTTTCTGTAGTGATCTTTCTTGAGTCTAAACAGTAATTTATTGGTTTATTTTTACAGATGACTATGGATGAGAAATATGTGAACAGTATTTGGGATCTTCTAAAAAATGCAATCCAAGAAATCCAGCGTAAGAACAATAGTGGCCTCAGTTTTGAGGAGCTGTATAGGAATGCGTATACAATGGTGTTGCATAAGCATGGCGAAAAGCTTTACACTGGACTAAGAGAAGTGGTCACTGAGCATCTGATAAACAAGGTATGTCATTTTATGAATTAAAATGGAAGTATCTTATACAAAAGAATTCTAAATAGGTACTTAAATGGCAAAACCCTAACTTCTGTGATTCTGCGATTTATTATGTTATTATGTTGCCTTGTGTTGAAATGGTATTACTATCCTCAAAAATGGTAGCTTAGAGCTAACATCAAGCCTAAATGACTTCATATTCCATATACTTTTTGCTGTAAGTTACTGATGGAGGTCAGCAAGTATTCGAAAGTGTACAGTAGGAAACAACTTAAGCTGAAGCATAACTGTTGAGAACTGGGAATTTTTAAGAAAAGGTTTGTGGCCTTTTGGTGGAATTTTGTGACTTTTTCAGAACAAATTTTTTGTTTTCCAGTCAGTTGTTTTTGGTGCTTTTTGGTGTTTTTTTAATCTGTAGAACAAAATAAATACCAGTGTAAGAACATGTTTGTTATGGGCTAATGAACTAATTCGTAAGTTAGTGAGAGTTGTACTAGGATTACACTGTTTAAAGAGGCGGTAGGCAATGTACAAAACCATCAGCTCAGCAACAACGAAAAGTCCTGAGTAGTCTGCATGCTATCATTTTAGCCTTTTCAAAACGATGTAATTCAGTCAAAATGATATGCAGAAACTTCTTGTTTCTGAAGATGTATCATCTGAGAAAAGAGCTCTTCACATCTTGTCTTGAGTCAGTCTTTGTAAGGAACGTTTAGGGTTGACTATTAATATGTCACTGAAAAAAGTTAAGCCTCAATTTTTAGGAGTCCAGATAATATTTCATGGTAAATAAGATCCTTTGCTCTTTGTGGTAACATCCATAGCTGCCTGTCTGTGTGGCTATGGGTCCAGATGGAGTATCTGTTCTGTTATTACAGTATTTGAAAAGGAAAGTCATGTGTGTTGAATGATCACTTCTGGCTGATATACAGAGCGTGGATGGGAGGTTAATGTCTAAATAATGGGGAGTTTCTTGTTCTAACTGGAGTTACTGCTGTGGCACAGAAGTGTATTATTTCTTTTCTAAAATCCTAGTTTTTAAAGGTGTGGTCCAGACAAGTATAGTCTAAACTGCTTTGATTGTGGGGCTTTTTAATTGTTTGCACAAGATGAAACATCTTGTATGAAGTAGCTAAATAATTTATGGCTCTCCTCTATACTTGTAGCACATCTGTGGCTCTCAAGCACTTCTGTTTTCATAATCTGTGCATTCATAATCTGTTCTATTCATATAAAATGTAGCAAATGGCTGAGGCTTTTCGTGCCTTGTTCTTGTATATGCCTATGTTTAAAGTCTATACTTAATCATGACACTAACCTTTTTTTCTTCCTAGGCCTTAAGTTTATCCTAGTTTAATTTGAGGAAAGCTTCTTATCTTTGTTCTTAGCTATTCTACATATCAAAAACTATCCATGTGCAAACCCAAACCCAGTTATTCTGAAGGGCTGATGGGGGCAAACTGACAAAAGAGCACAAGATCCTTCGAGTTTTTTGGGTCATTGCACTGGCTGAGAGGGTTGCACAGGTACCAGTGTAGGAAAAAATGCCTTTCTGATACTTTAATGCTATGTATCTGATGCTTAAAAAAACTCAAAGCATCTTCTCTAGTCATTTAGTTTTCTAATATTTAATATGATTAATCAAATTATATCTATGCGTATAGGTAACATAAAATAGATTATCAGAAGTTGGTTTTCTAAATAAAAAGGCAAACTACTGAATTTTAGTAGTAAAATGCTGTAAAGCTTAAAAGGTTAATTTATTCAGATGTCTGATGATGCCAACGTATAAATGAAATAATTCCAGGAAAAGATTAATAAAAATACGTGTGTGTCAAAAAGTTCTGAAAAATAGAGGACTTCCGTAGGCTCAAAGCTACTCCTTCTTTTGGTGGCTTGCTTAAGGAAGGTGAGGAAAGTATGGAAGTATGGAAAAAATAGTGCATTGTTTATTAAGAAATAGCATCAGTTCTATAACACCATCTTATGATTGTGCCATTAGTACCTGTAAGAGAGAAAAAGTTTTAGTTTAACCTCATACTTATGTAACAGAAGTTTTAGAGCAATCTTGAATTTTCAGTGTCTCTTTGCAAGAGCAGTTCTCTGTTAAATGTTAAGTAGTTAATTAATAATAAATGCTGTCATCACAAGTCTTTGTAAACTTCAATTCAGAGAATCAATGGTGGATGCTAGAATTTAGAAGAGCGGGATTTCGCGAACTGAAGTGTTGTTCATGAAATCTGTTAACTTTTATCAAAATGAAAGTGTGCAACATGAATAGATTTTAATAAAGGACTACACTCAGTTCAGGAAATGCATCTGAGGAGCCAAACTCAAGTTTTGAATTGCTAGAATCCTTGAAACATAATTGTAATTTGCTGTCCACAGCTGCTGGTTATCTTCCTACGAAAAAGTTGCATGCCTGTAGTAATTGAGTCATGCTGGTTAATTTAAGAGTAAATGTAGTGTAAAGGACTATGTAGAGGCAATGTGTTTGTTCAGATATTTTTACAAATAGTTTTCAAGCTTGGAAAGTAAAAATTTTTATTTTTGGTATGGCGCAGTTAAAAGATACGCTTATTTAATTGCTATATGAAAGTTGTGCTTGCTCAGCATCTTTATTGAAAAGTTGTGCTTGCTCAGCATCTTTATTATTTACCAAACACTTTAAAGAAGAAAATTATTTTAACTTCTCAACAAGAAAACATAATACTGTGTATTGTCTTTGCAGCCTGTTCAATGTAAAATGGTAGGTGCCAGCATGATCTGTACAAGATACAAGCACAAAAGCAAGTTACTGTAGATGCTTGGTTTTGAACATGTAGACCCTAATGGCTTGTAGTTGCAATCACCAGGTTCTGACTGCTTGATGAAGGAAGTAGTAAGCCAAGTAGCTTACTGCACATCATTGATAGGAGTCACCTGTCTTGAACTACCTTGGCTTTACTACAGGCTAAAGACAAGCTAAAACTTGTCTTTGCCTGTGTATTTACATAATTATTAAAGTACAGTACATGAAACCAACATTTTGTCTTAATTTAGGCATTTAATTCTTGTGTATTTGGTGCTTCATTGATTTCTCCCCTTCTTGTTCTCTGGCAATCTTGTAGCTTCACATTTCTCAAGCCTTGTCTTTCTTCTTCACTCAAATGTTGTAAAAGTGTTTTAAAAAAATAAACACACAAAGCTTAGTTTACAGCTCTCTAAACCACTTGATGATAAGCAACATCACTCATGTTGGAATGCAAAACATCTTGAAGTTAAAAAGTTTACAGGATAATATTTTTAAAGTTCTCTTAGTTTTTACAAACACTTCATAGTCTAGTGAGATCTAAACCCGTGACATGCAATGTATTGTTACACATTCTGTGTGTGTGAGACAAAGGAATTGATTGGTTTGTTGACCAAACCCAATACAGTTTGGTTGTTTTTTCTGTGCAGTGTGTGTGTCAGATTGAGGTGTAAAAGACTCTTCTAAACTTAAACAAACAGAAATGCGCTGGAGGAGGTCCTAGAGCATTACTGAAAAGGCAGAAGTGCTTGGGATGTTCTCACACCTTGTAAGGCTTCTTGATCTTACTGAACATTTCTGTTGCTTTCTGTGGCTGGCGTGCCAGAATGCATTATGGTGGTCTTTCCTGATGCAGCTGGTAGAGTTCAGTAGCAACAGTGCATGCAATTTCAGAGTAGTAATGAAGGCAGGCATGCAAGAAAGTCTTTGGTAAGGAGGGTATGGAACCGTTAAGTACAGAAGGAAGGTTTAGGGTGAAGAAAGTGTGTCCGCTCTGGGGCTTACAAAGTTATGTCTAGAATCCTTGTATGCTTTTAAAATTTGCTACGATGCTGTTGCAGAAGGAAGGGGAGAGAGAAGATAGGAAGTAATTTCAAACTCCCTGTAGAGTCTGAAATGATATCTGTGAAATAGGGAGGAATGGCATGAGGAGTTGTGTAGGAGACAGATTGATTAGTGAGCATTATGGTCTGCTGTCTGATTGATAGTGTATGAAGTGTTATCTGAGTTTATCTTTCCTTAACAATGTTTTAAGATGGTCTTGTGCAAGTCTGCAAATTTATGGAGGGCAAAAGGATGCGAGGGAATTGCCAGATAGTGAATGCAATTCAGAATCATCGATATTCTTCATTGTTGGTTGGTTTGTTGTTGTTTTTCCTTTCAGCAAAAGGATAGCAGCTACAGGGGTGAACAGATGTTTCTGGTAAAGTTAATCTGTCGGGACTGTAAGATTTTAGAATACTGTCTTTTGCACTACTTATTTCTTTGTAGAAGATGAAGAAACTCCATTAATAGAAGTTCTGAGACCTTGAGGCCTTGATTCAGCAAGTGCTGTTCTATACTGCTCTGCACACTGGAGGTTCTGGCTGTCCTTACAGTAGTAGAAATTGCATAATTGAACTATTTGTCTTGCTGCGTCAGGCCAGGCACTGTAAGAGAGAAAATAGTAGGCCATAAGTCTGCTTTGTGTACATTTAGTAGAGAGTTATTTAAAGATATTGAAAGCTTATGCCGATTCTTAAGATTGGTGGGGGAGTGTGCTGTATTTCCTTAAGAATTGAGCCTGAAGTTGTATACAAGATTTCATCCTTGCAAATGTAAGACAACCATATGTAGATTATGAAGTTGCTAATTTATTTTTGAGACTGTATGTGGACAGTCCTTTTAAAGCTGGATGTGCCTGCCAGTTTACTGTGTAACTGCAAAGATTGTCATGGAAATCACTACAAGCTCAGCTAATTAAAAGTAGCACTCTGCAGATAAAAATCTGAGATTCAAATATTTTAAGGCTTTGGAAGAGCAGCAGCTCTGCCTCTGAAGGAAGGGCTTCCTTCTCTACAGAAGAGTATGAATATCCAGGGGGTTTTGTTACAAGTAATTTATTCCACCAGAGGGGTTTGACTCTGCATCTTTGCATGGCTAAGATGTTTTGTGCATTATACTAGTTTTCCTGTAGTATTGCTTTATTCATGGTCCATATAAGGAATGTGTTCATTGCTCATTAACTACACAGCTGTTATAAGCAATAATTTGGTTGACTTTTGTAGCAACTGAAAGAACAGCTTCCCAAGCCTGTCTGCAGCTTGAAGGTAGAAGAATGTCATGGGAAAGCTTCACAGAGAGACTTTTAGAGTAGTTTTGTTGTACAGCACCCATTCCTGGATTTAATATACATTTCCAAAGAGCCACATGGCATACTATGTGGAGTAGAGGGGGCATAGATTTCAGTGTTCTATTTGGAAGCTTGTAGTCACTGCTACCTGGTGACAAGCACGCCCTTTTGCTGCAATTTAGTATGTGATTTGGTACTGGCTCAGTCTTGCAGGATTATTGTGACGGATGTGTTACAAAGGCATGCTGCCTCTGTGGTGTTTAAAAGAATCCCTACCCTGGTTATCTGTGCTTTTAAACAACTCGGGCTTTTAGTTTTGTTTTGGTAAATTGTAGCAGTGTGGGTGATCTACCAAATAATGCTTCCAATGTTTTTCCATATTGACTAAAGATGTGAAAGCAAACATGCCATGTTTGTTTCTCTTCTGGAAGATTCTGCACACCTTTTACAAGTACAGCTGCTGAAGTTTTGAGTGCATGTTTACATTTTAGCTGAAACGTAGGTAGATTGGATGGCAACAGAGCACTGCTTTGGGAGACCAGAGGGTAAATGATAATCACTATCATAAAGAATGGGGCAGCTAAGTGGTGCTGTGACTTACAACTTCATACTTTGTTTTCCAAAAGCAAGGAGGAGGGACCTTGGTCAGGTCTGGGAAGTAGGTGTTTGAAGATTTCGGAAAGCTTTGAACAACCTACAGGCATACCTGTATTACCTAGATTCAATAAAAAGGTGAATATTACAGGGTTAGATTTCCACAGCTTCTCCAGAGGAGACCATTGTGTTTGTATGATATGCCGTGCTATGTTTCTGGTTCATCTAAGTTTATGGAGTACATATAGTAGTTTGGCAGACTGAAATTTTTGTTATGTTGGTTTTGCCTAATAACATTGTAAAACTTAAATGACAGAATGAAGTCTGTCTGGTGGTTTTGTCTGATGTTGGTGCAGCTTGTGGCTGCTTGTCATGTGTTTTGTTTTGCTGTTTGACTGCTCTATACTGAAATTTACACTATCACACAAGTATAAATGCGAATATATAAATGTAAAAATGTTCTATTCAGTTACAAAAAAGGCAGGATGTATTCTGCAGGTTACGTCAAAAGTCAGTTGACACACTTTAACTCTGGAGTAATGTTTTTACATTCCCTCAGGTTTCTTTTACATGAGTTTAAAGCTTGAGCCCTGTAGTATGCACCTACTGCATGAAAATCAAAATATGGAACTGAATGTTCTGGTTTTTTATGAGTAGGGAGTAGTAATAGTGTCAAAAAGACATAAAGCCTGAAATTGATGGGACAAATGAATCAACTAGCATACACATTCGTAAAAACAGTGATGACTTCCTTTTGTAGTCTGGAGTCTTGTTGTTGGCAATTATGGACTATTAGTTTAAGAGTCTGGTCTTTACCAAGTGATTATTTCCTTTCAGAACTGTTGTTTGCTGTAACTTTATGCTGTCTTAGCGTATCTTTCTAAATGTCATCATGGCCAGTTTTCTACCTGTACTTGTTCCTGTTTGTAACATTCACTGGTACTATCCAGTATTCTGAGATTACTTGTGATAGTAAAGTTAACATTAGTGGAAACACTATAGCACAGGAAATGAAACATTTGAGGAGTTACAGAAAATATTTTTAACGTTAGAGATTTCAGGTAGCCCTTTGAAATGTAGTATTCATGTTCATTTTGTTGCTCTTGTTCCAAGCCTGTTTTTTCTTGTTTGTGTGAAGTCTTATTTTTCCACAGAAGTGAAGTACAAGGTAGGGGTGGTCAGCCTCCAGGAAATGCAAGAACTTGTTTGGAATATTCAAGTTCATAGAGGAACAAGATTTCTTTTCTTTAAAGCAAAGCTTGTTGAAATACAAATGATTCAGGAGAAACTGACTCAGGTTTATGACAATGTACTACTCCTTTTTGCTTCAGGTGCGAGAAGATGTTTTAAACTCCTTGAATAACAACTTTCTACAAACACTAAACCAAGCATGGAATGATCATCAAACAGCAATGGTGATGATTAGAGACATTCTAATGTATATGGTAGGTATTCTGCTTTTTCACACCTTTACTTGATGCAGTGAATTGTCTCTTGTCAAATGTGGACAAATGAGCTGCAGGGGTCAAAAAACAAGGCATCCTTACAAGTCTCGTTCCCAAGACTGCTGTCTGTTCCTTGTTTTGAATTTGCTGTGTGCATACAAGACTGTTACAGGTGTCTGATAAATTATAATGGAATTCTTCTTTCAGGTTACCTCATTATCACTTGAAAAACACATCTGGAAAGTGGTTGAAATCCACAATTCTTAAAAAATGCTTTACTCATTCTGACAGGTTGTAGATGTTATTTGCATGTGGTGAGCTTGGATACAATATTAAGCAGTGTACATAGTCTGTAATTCTAAAAGAAAAAAGAAAAGCATTCCTTACTTAATAGCTAATGGAAAAGGCCTTTTTTCAAGAGAGAGTGCCTTAAATATTTGTGTCTGGATTGTGTTATGCTTTAGATAGTTGGTATATGTTTAACTTGCCAGAATGGTGGGCATGCTTGGAGGGTGCAGGGGAGTGTATTTTTGCATAGCTTCTAGGCAAAGGCTTTACCTTCAGGAAGGAAAAGAAAGATGTGTTGAAATACTGTGGTTTGGTTTATGTAAAATCTTTTTTTCCAAAGTGTCATACTGAAGATAGCACTTTGTGCAATTTTCGACAGTGAAGGTCAGATAGTGCTTTCTTTTTATTTATCAAAAAAATATGATGAACTGAGATTATACTCTTATCTGCTGAACAACTGGAGTTAAGATCTTCTAGCTTTTAGAGTTCTCATGCTATGAAATTGAACCTGTTTGTATTAGCTGTGAAATCCTGCTTGGTTAAAAAGCTGCTAAAAGCTGGAGTTTGGAGTAGTTGTTGAAGCTACATAGCTTATTTTTTTAATAATTTTTTTTTATGGGTTTACTGGCTTTTGTGTTGTGGAGTTTGGTTTTGGTGGGTTTTTTGGAGGGAGGAGTGGTTTTGTTTGAGTGTTGTGTTTTGGTTAGTTGGGTTTTTTTTAAGTTTGGAAAAGATCACATATCTAAAGATAGAGGACTGGATAACATGCCTTCAGTGAGACTTAATGGAATGTGTATCTTATCTTGCCAAAAGGAAGATTGAGAGAGTTTTATTTTGAAGTACAATTTTCACTGTGAGAATTCCTGGAATCCCTAATATATCTGTAAAGGACAAATGCAAATCAATTGCTGCTAGCTGCATCTGGGCAAATTCAAGAGTAGCTAACAGTTAGAATAATGTTCACCAAAGCTAGTGATGAATTTTCAGAAACATTAGAAGATGGAATTCAGAGCTTTCTAGGGGAGTAGCTGATGTGTTTTAGCCATATACTGTGTATTATTTCAGTACAGGAGGTTCTGGATGATCCAAGGTATGTAGGTGGTCAGAGAGGATAATGCAATATTATCTATTGCTCTTGAATTCAATAAATCTTTGATCCCTCAAACAGGGTCAGGGGAAGCTGTCTTATCAGCTGTTCCTGGTTTATTTGGGGGTTTTTGTGTGTTGACATGAATATTAAGGACCAAGCCTTTCCTTTGGGGGAGGGTTACGTGCTTCAGTTAGCACTTCTGGGGGGAGATGAGAGCTATTTCCTAAGTATTCTTTGTGCTCAGGAGAGCCATGTCTTGATTTTTGTTTGAAGCTTGCAAGTGCAGTCTTCTCTTCTTTTTAATTCTTCTTTTTTTTTTTTTTTTTTTTTTTTTCTTCCATCAAAATTCCAGAAGATGGAGACCTGCAGCATTCTTAAAAGTGCAGATTGGGCTTCACTGTGTTATAATTTAGGTTCAGAACAGAATAATAAACAAAGAAACTTGAATATATAGTCTTTTATGTGCTGTTTGATAGTTCCTAATGATTTCAAGTGGGTGTGCAGTTGAGGCCTCCACTTGACTAATTATTTGCCTCTTGGAGACTTTTTTCCTTGTACCAAACTGAGACCCAAAGAAACAGAAAAGACACATCTACAATAAAATGCATAGTGTATCAGTTAAAATGTAACAAATTTTTCTTTCAAAATGCTTATATAAACTTGTTAAACTTTAGGAGCACTGATGTCTGTTTGTTAAACACTTATACTGTAACATGGGTTTTATGATTATAAGTTGGATCTTTTTTAGATAGAACTGTCTTATGTAAGGAACCGATAGAATGGGCAGACTCCCTCTTTGACTTGGAGTGCGTAATACAAATTGTCATTAGAAAATACGTGCTTTGTTTACAGATTAAAGTATAAACTATGGTTTAAAGCGAGACTAGTCTCAAAGATTTGCAGTTTCACTTTTGTCATTGGGGTATCCTGTTGAGTCAAAGGTGATTCTGCTCATGGGAAAGAGGCTAAGAGCAGGAAACTTCTAGTCTTGAGTATGTGTTCATTCAAAAAGCTGGAAAAAAGTGTTAGTATCACAAAATTATAAAGCAAGGAACATCTGTCAAAGGTGAGACCTGACTGCTTGTCAAAGAAACAATTTTCAAGAACTTCATAAAATAAGGAATAGCTTGTTCTTTTTTTATTACTTTGAGTCTGAATCAGATGTAGTTTTATAGAGACACACTTGTCAGACATTGTTTATACTTTTTTTTTTTATTCAAGCACAGCTAATATAATTTACATTTAAAATGTTTTATCTTAAGAAAACCAAACACTGTAAACTCAGTCACCAGGCATTGTTAATTGATATTCTTATGTTCCACCAGAAGTATATTCAATTATATAATATGTTTATAAATAAAGGATAACCCAGTCCTTCTCCTCTTATTCTATAGGCCGTTCAAATTACTTACCCATCAGTTTCAGGAAGTGTAACTCTTGGTACCCAACAAACCACAGTCTGAGAGCAGTGAACATTTGACATCCTCTTGAATTCTGATATTACTCTCTTACATTCTTCAGCCTAGCGATTTTACATTTTAAACTATCTGGTTTAATGCCATGTATGTTTTCCAGTTTATTTTCACCTCTCAGCTCCTATATGATCTAAGTCAAAACAAATACCTTTCTACCTTAATCTTCCCTCTGTTTAATTTTGCCACTTCAAAATTAAAATTAATTCAAACAGATCTTTTTTGAAAATGTGTATATTTTATACATTGGGATTTGTGCATTGTTATGATACATGCTGTCAGAGGTTTGTGGCAGGATTTTGTTTGGTTAACAGAACATCTTCTGCAAGACACTCATAAAGCTTGCCCTACAGTTGCATTTTTTGTCTTTTGTGTTATGATTCTACTGTGAGGTTTTGTACAATAAACCCAAATTCAACTTCCTTGAGACATTCCAGTTTCTACAGTTGAATTTGAAGCTTACATGGTTCCACTGTATTTTGTAGTGTGTGTGTACTAGCTCTCCTCTTTTTGTGTTACATGTTTAAGGCTACAGTAATCCATGCTAGAATAGATGTAGTAGTCTCTGTAAATTCATGGCACTGTCTGCAGCAAGCAGTGAGGTACCAAAGCAGTGAAGTCATGTCCTAAGTAGCATCTTCAGTGAGTCAAATCATGTACTATGACATGTTGAAGTAGTGAAGTAATGTACTGTGCTTGGGCCTATCTGAAATTCAGTCTCGCTTTTGGCTGCAGCATAGATAAGTGTACCTATGGTAGTTTTTATTTAGCTACTGTGTGTAACAGGAGCAGTGGAGGTGCAGTTGTTTGGTCTTCTCTTCAAGCTGCGTAAGTGTGAGTATTCTTGGAATGTCTTGGGGAAACTGGGCTAAACTGGATTCTGCAGTGTCCCTTCTTTACTATTTGTGCTTGCTAAATTTAAAGCAGTTTCAGGTATGCAAGCACAGCAGTCACACCCCTGGCTGCATTATAGGCATGTGGGTAGTGCCAGTTAAACAGTGTCAGAAGTGAACAATTACTCTTATGAATACAGCTGTGTGTTTTGCAGAGGGCAGAGCATTCCCTTCTTGTTTGTGCGGTGCACAAAGCCAGTGTCCTGGTTTAAGCTGGCATTGACAGATCTGTGATGAGAGTTTTGACCTTGGGGCATCTGACTCTTACTGTTCATGGCTTCTGCACAAGGTAGTAGGGAGAAGTGTTGTTTTTATTTTGAGAACTAATATCAAAGGCACTTGCGTATATGTATAGCAACGGTGTCTGAAGGCTATGTCATCCAGGTGCATCCTTGCAGAGATGGGCAAGATGTGGATGGTAATACTTAACAGTAGGTGACTTGCTTTACTTGAGGTCAGAATTACTCTGCAGTGTAAGCAGCATTGTAGTTCATGAATAATTGCTGTCTGAAACTCCACCCTTGTCTCCTGAGAGTTACTCTTACGTTTAAGTACCTGCTGCTTCTCCCTGTAGGAAGTGATTGCTGTTCGGTAGCATGTAGCTTTGTCAGTCAGACCTGTTCCCAAATGGAGCTTCCTGTCTCTAAGACTGTATTTTTTTTTTAGGTTGGGAGAGCTTCCAGTAAACATTAAAAGTGCTCCTGTTACCAAGGCTAAGCAAATCAGCAGTATCAGAAACATTAATGCTCCTATTCTGATTTGGGTATTGCAGAGTGGTCTGGCTTTCTAAAGAGGTGTTGCTGTTACATTGAGGCAAGTTTCTAATGCAGTTACTATTCCATAGTGGCAACATTTAGCAGTGCCACAACAGGAGCTATGCAGAGGAGTCATGGCTTTGATTCATTTTGGTACCCTGCTGCCTGTTCTTCAGAAGCCTGAATATTCTTTGGTAATAATATATATATATTCTTCTCAAATTATATGGTATATTAGACACTACTTTTTAATTTTCTCTTTTATCTGTTTGAAAGTGTACTTTAAGCTTGTCTTGATTTAGAATCGTCTTTGCTTCTGTTCTGGGCGCAAGTGCTTAAATAAGGGAGTGAAATAAATAACTCTGTATATATATATAACAGAAAAAATAGGATAACATACTCCAAAGATCTAGACTACTATGTATTGCTAAACTGACTTCATAAGACCAATTACTAAACTTTTTGCTTTGAGGCAGAACTGAGCTTGCTTCATGAGCCACAGAGTAGGCATATCTGACCTGTTTCCATCTTGGTTTTTCATTTAAATGAAGTGCTGCCTGCCTGAAAGGAGTGAGTAGGAAATCAATTGTGAACTCTTGTGTTTTGCTTTCCTTTGGTCATCAACTGGCAATCTGGCATATAATTAGTATATGAATAATTTTGCCATGTAAATTCAGCTGCTAACGTACTAAGGGTGTGATGTCAGTTCCTTCTGTATTTTTTTTGGGGGGGGAGGGTGTATTTCTTTTTTGGGGTGGGGTTTTTTTTGAGGTTTTTGTGAGGTTTTTTTTTTTCTTTTGGTGAGTTTTTTTGTTCTGTTTTTTTTTTTTTTCTCCTAATTGCAGAATTTATAAAATCTTTGTAAATTTTTCAGTCTGGAGCATAATATTTTTTTCATAGTTTAGTTTTCTAGGTGTCTGAGTAATTTTACACTTCAATTGAGTGTGGTAAAGCACCTAAGATAGTTGATGGAACTAGTGAAGCTAATTTTTATACTCTATTTCAGACATTATCCTTATACTCCATTTCAAACATAGACCTTCATCCTTTATAGAATTTGATTATTTTTTCATTTATAGCTGTATAAATATTCAGAAAACCTTATCACAGTCAGATTTGTGAGTGGTACAACCCCCTTAACTTTCTCTAGTATCATCATCCTGAGGCGTAAAGGGTAGGAAAGCACTACTTTCAGTAATTACCCAAGCTGTTATGTTAGAAGAATGGATTATGCCCTGACAGAAATGAAAAAATAATCATTGTTCATCTCAGAAATAGTTTGTAAAAAACCCTTTCTGTTCTTAATGTTGCTTTAAATGGTCTTACCTGGTACAGCACTACTGGATATTAAGTGAATACACTGATTTTCTGTCTGCTAGTAACTTTATTAATAATTTTGCTTTTCTAGAGAGTTGGGAAAGAGGAATGGAAAAGGGGAAAACAATTTTTGGAGCATTTCTGCAAGAAGCAGTAAGAAACTCAGGGTTTCTGCTCAGAGGTATCTCAGTCCACTCTGGCTGATGGGTTTTAGGCTATACAGACTTGAAATACTGTTCAAAGGACCAGTCTCAATTTCTAAATGTAGCTAGTATAGGGGTAGCAGTTGAGGAGCCTGATTGTTTCTATATGCTAAGATAATGTGGGGAGATGGAATTTAAACCCATATAGAGACACACAAATTTTTCATTCTTCTCTGCCGTCTCTTCTTTTTTTGGGGGGGTGTGTGTATGTGTGAGATCTTAAGGATACATAAGGTGGTTTCAAGATACTTGCTTGAGTTGAATGAAAGTGAATTTTTTGGGGGAAGGGGTGTAACAGAAGTCCTTATGTACAATTTTGCAATAACAATCTGTAAACGTTTTGACTGTAACTATTCTCATTTTGGCTTTACTTTTTCTTTTGGTCATTTAATGATGCTATTTTAGAAATCTTACTGAATATTGAGGGGGAGCTATCTGCTTAAAAGGGAGTGGTAGGAAGATGCATGGGAAATGGGGAAAGTGAATTAATTTTTCTCAAAGAACAAAAAGGGGTGGATGGAAGGGGTTTGAGTAGATAAGTAGAACCTCTTGAGTAGATAAGTAAAACTACCCCACTTGGAGTATTGTGTTCAGCTCTGGGATCTCCAGTACAGGAGGGACATGAACTTGTTGGAGCGAGTCCAGAGGAGGCCATGAAGATGATCAGAGGGCTGGAGCACCTCTGCTATGAAGGCAGGCTGAGAGAGCTGGGCTGGGCTTGTTCAGCCTGCGAAAGAGAAGGCTCCAGGGAGACGTTACAGCAGTCTTTCAAAACTTAAAGGGGGCCGACAAGAAATCTGGAGAGGGACTTTTTACAAGGGCTGTGGTGACAGGACATGGGGCTTTAAACTGAAAGAGAGTAGATTTAGGTTAGTCATTAGGAAGAAGCTCTTCACTGTGAGGGTGCTGAGGCGCTGGCACAGGTTGTCCAGAGAAGCTGTGGCTGCCCCATCCCTGGAAGTGATCAAGGCGGGGGTTGTAGCAACCTGCTCTAGTGGAAGGTTTCCCTGCTTATGGCAGCGGGGGTTGGAACTAGATGGTCTCTTCCAACCCAAACCATTCTATGGTTCTGTGATACTTTCAGGCTGTGCCATCAATTTTGTCAGTGTTTGGAGATTCCCCTGCTCGCAAACTAAAAAGTGGCAAGGCTGTAGATGGTCCTGGCATGCTTTAGTTGTAAATACTGTGTGTACAGTCTTCACCAAAGTAGACTTTCTATGTAAGTGAAGTTTTGGAAAATGGGACTGGTTTTCAATTTTGAGGGTATTCATAATTTCTTTTTGTTGCAAAAGGAGAGAAGATTAGTTTGGTCATTTCTGTGTAGTGGAAACATGACCAATCTGTTGCGATTTTGAATAGCACGGGTGTACTGAACTTAAAATTTTATTCCTGTGTCTTCTTTGTAGGACCGTGTGTATGTGCAACAAAATAATGTGGAGAATGTCTACAATTTGGGCTTGATTATCTTTCGAGATCAAGTTGTACGCTACGGCTGCATTAGGGATCACCTGCGGCAAACGCTGCTGGATATGATTGCAAGAGAAAGGAAAGGAGAAGTTGTAGACAGGTAAGATGTTTGTAAGTGACTGTCTTTTGCTGTAAAGAATGCCTGTCATTTTTTAAGAGTGAATCACAAACATACACAAATCATTACTTAAAGCTGCATTCCTGATTGCAAGTAAAAATTTTTTCGTGATCTGGAATAACGTATTTCTTTGTGCATTAAGGTTTAGCATAATGGTAAATAGAGAAGCTCGTGAATACATTTTTTGATACTTGTGTTTTTTATTAAACTTTCATTAAATCTCTCCATTACTGCCTTGTGCCAGAGCATTTGGTTATAAAGCTGAGTTTTTGACCGTTCTCTGCCTCTTGCTACCTTGTATCTCCTCTGTATTGAGAGGTGATTTAATTTTCTTGTACCTGGGTTTTTTTGTGTGTGTTTTGGGTGGAGAGGAGGTTGGTATTACTTTTGTGTTTTATTGTGGGTTGGGTTTTTTTTTTCCTTTTTTATTATATTTCTCTTACTCATGTTTTGATCCATCTGGTTTTGGTAGTTTGCTTCCATCTCTGAGCTTTTAAATCTGTTCCTTTGGTTCTCCAGCCAGTTGAATAGATGTGGAGTTTCGTGCCACACACTGCAGATACTGCAACTGAAGTAACTTCAAATTTGCAAGTTTTCTTGTGCTTCTCTAGTTTCAGAGCAGCTGTTGGGTGTGGAGATATGTAAACTCCATGCTACTTTGGCTGCAGTTCTGGGACTGAGATTGCCCAACACACTATTTAGGAAGAGAAAAGTACTCCTTGGCAACAGCTGTGTATTGTCCCCTACTGCCAGAAAGTGGAATTTTTTCCTGGATGCAGTTCTTTTGTTTTCACATTTTATTGGTGTGTTTCTATGCCTAACCAAATATTTAATTTGCTGATACATTTTCATTTTGTGCTTTGTTTGGGGTTGGCTTTTTTTGTGTGTGGTGGGATTTGGGGTTTTTTTGGGTTTTTTTGTTTGTTTTTTGGTTGTGGGGTTTTTTTTTGTTTGTTTATTTTTTTGGGTTGGTGGGGGAACCAAGCCCCCCAAAAAACAACCACCACCCAAAAGCCCCAAACTTTGCACAGCAACTTCCATCTGTGCAATTTGTTTTGAATTGCTCAGTTCCAACCTGTGCCTGCAGTTTTCTTTGAAGTAGTATTTTTTGTTATTTTCTTGTATGTTGAAATATACTTAATAGTTTTCCAAGTTAATAGAACTTGGGACCTGCTTCCCCGTGTTTAAAATATTTCATACTGTCAGCTTCTTAGTTTAGAACAAGAACGATCAATCTTGTTCCTGTAATGTTCTTGAAATCCTGTCATGTATCAAACAGGTTTAGGATGGCCTTTCTCTTATTATATTTGACTTAAGTTTGTATTTTATTCTGAGTTGTTATTCTGCTATGTACTCTGTCTTACAAGCACGTAGATTTCTCAAGTTGTTAACAACTTACTTTTTGGCAGAGGCGCAATAAGAAATGCTTGCCAGATGTTAATGATTCTAGGTCTTGAAGGAAGATCAGTCTATGAAGAAGACTTTGAGGCTCCGTTTTTGGAGATGTCTGCAGAATTTTTTCAGGTATGGCAATGTTGTAATATTGTTTGGAATGTTGTTAAAACTTCCTGGAATTATGAGAATTGGTTGTACTTTAAGTAATTGCTGCTTATAAGTATGTCCATCACCATTGAGTGAAATAAGAAAAAAACTAACTTTGGGAAAAGTTAGAGAAATTTTACAGAATTACAATAATTTGAATGTAGTTCTGACATATGTGTGCCAATAACATGTAAAGTAATCATCATGCTAATTCCATGCCTGCTTTAGGCTATTTCATGCAACTTAGTCTATCCCTGCATTGCAGCCACAGTCATTTTGAAATACCAGTGGCATGAAAGGTTCAAACTGTTTCAGGCTAGGAATGGAGAGGGGAGACTACCTGTCAAACTGCCTTTGAGGAAGCTTTGTTTCCTTCATGGTTTCTGTATTTGTGAGTTCATTTTTTGTAATAAAACAAAGTGAATTGAGGAATAAATATACGCAAGTGGCTATCCATTTGTGGACCAGCCACTGAATAACACATTTTAAATATTTCCTGAGGAATTTTTTTGAGATTGTTTAGGAGAAAAAAGCCACTTGAATGGTGGTTGCATGTAATCATGCTCATCTGTTGTTGGAAACTGATAGTAATTATAAAAGCATGTAAAAAGATGTCTAGGTAAGATAATTTGTCAGTCTCCCAATCCTTGTGCAGGATCTACTGTCATATCTACTGATCTCCAGATTTATTTGAAAATCAGAAACATATGTTACACAATGATTTAAAAGTCATTATATTCTGCTTTTCTTTGGTGCTACATAAAATGAAGAAAATCAGAATAGTTTGGAAGAGACCTTCAAAGGTCATCTAGTCCAACCCCTCTGCAATGAGCACAATTGCTTTCATTTAAGTTTTATTTTTTAGCTCTGTTTTAAAAAAAAAAAAAAAAAATCTTTCTTCTGAAAGACTGTGCTGACCAGTATGGATAAAACCAGTTTGACATGGAAGAATGTACTCAGCATTGTCACTAATGAGAATGAGAACATACAACAACTCATAAATATGCTATAAACTGGTATTTGAAAAGAATTTTTGCCTCTTCCCTCTCCCCATCTTCTGTTTTCTTTGGACATGTGGCTAAAACTCTAGTTGGTAACTGGAAACTGGGTTGGCTTAGGTTGTTTTATTATGAAAAATACTATGTTCATATTGCATGTACCCCCTTATGTATGTAACACGGCATAATAGAACCTTTATTTTGCATTATGCATGTATGTAAATCTTGGGGGTATGATGATCTCATTTCTTGGACATGCTGTTTGATTTGAACTTGCTTATAAATGCTGATCTGAAATAACTAGTACATTTCCTTTTTCCCTTTAAAAAAGTCTAAAGTATTGATTTGTGTTAATCACAGATGGAAAGTCAGAAATTTTTAGCTGAAAACAGTGCTTCTGTATATATAAAGAAAGTAGAAGCTAGAATTAATGAAGAAATAGAACGGGTGATGCACTGTCTGGATAAATCAACAGAAGAACCAATTGTGAAAGTTGTTGAGAGGGAGCTTATTTCGAAGCATATGAAAACTATAGTGGAAATGGAGAACTCTGGGCTAGTTCATATGCTGAAAAATGGGAAGACAGAAGGTAAGACTGCATCATATGTGAGACAGAAGTACGATAATTCTTATTGCTTTTAAACTTGGGATAAGTCAAACTTAACACTTGTGTTCCTCTGTATCTGTAAAAACACTTTGGTGGCTCTGTTTTGCAAACATCTGAGCATCTTACTCCAGAGACTTAGAGGGCTCTTAAAACACAGCCCGTATGTATAACCTGTGCCTGTTTAGTACCAGACATGGGTACTTTTTTGGTAAGCCAAGTATCTCTTAAGAAAAGTGCAAGTTTATGGTAATGGTCTTTGTTACTTGTTTTCCATGAGCCATTTTATTACTTTCATTCGTCTAGTATGTAGCCATCAAAATGCATCAAAATTTTTTGGTCCATAAGCAGTTATTTAAAAAGCGCTAGGGTGACTTATTTAGTGGAAATATTGTGGGACCAATTTTTGGGGAAAGGGCTTTGTTGCAGAAATAAAGTCGGCTGTTTTTAAAGAGTAGGAAGCAGCTTATTGAAGTGGTTGAAAAAGAAGGACTTGGCTTGATTTGGTTTTCCTGATAGAGGTTAATGTGGGACAGAATGACTGAATGAAAGTTACTATGGAAAAAAATAGAACATAAGTTTCTAAAGCAGCATAATGAAGAGAGTGATTGTAGTATCTATATTTAGAAACTGGTGCTCACACTGAAGCCCTGAGTATGGGGAACAGACTTGCTGCTTAGATTAATGGCCTTTATTCGTTAAAGCAGCTTCACAATTACAAAGTGATAGAGTGACAGAGTGAGCGAATTTCTTGACTGTAAGAAAAGAGAATTACTGTATTGAAAAGGAAAATGATAATATTATATTTAACTTTTTTTTTCCTTAATATCTAGTTAAAATAGCCTTCAGGCTGAGGGTATAAGGATATTGAAGGGTATTTTTAAGATAGAGGGATTAGTTTAACTTTTATAACCTTGGTTTGAGTAGAGGGGAAAATACTTGGTGAATTGTGAAGATAAGATTTCACATAAATGTACAAGGATGGATTCTCTTTTGGAAAGCCATGTTTAACCTAACTTTTCATTATTTTAGATGGATGAAACAAAGTAGTGTAAAATTATATGGCTGACTTGAAGGCAAATATGAATTAAAGTCCATTTTTTACCTGTTTTTGCTTTTAATACAGAAACAAGCATCTATTTGCTTTACCTTAGATTTTTGTTACAACTTTTAATACAATATATGACTTTTGGGGTAGTCTTGGAAGCTACACTCATACCACTGGAAAACATAGTATTACTGAAGCTTGAAGTGTGCTATCCTTTAGTGCAAGCATCAACTTTTGCTGTCCTGGGGATCAGCAATAACACTCCTTGCTGCAGACAGCCTAGAGTAATTGATTGCAATCTTTGGGTTGAGTTTTGTGACTGCTGTAATCAGCATGTTGTCAGGGGTGAATGAAAGAAAATTCTAGTGCCTGAGCTGTTTTAGGATACTTCTTGTGGCTCAAGTGACTGAACTTATATTGCTGTCTTTTGCTATGAAATGAGTCAGTTACAGAAGTACAACAACCAGAGGGTGTCCTGCATAATATCTCATCCTTGTTTCCAGACCTTGCTTGTATGTACAAGTTGTTTAGCCGTGTGCCAAATGGTCTGAAGACAATGTGTGAGTGCATGAGCTCATACCTGAGAGAGCAAGGCAAAGCACTAGTTTCTGAAGAGGGAGAAGGAAAGAATCCAGTCGACTACATTCAGGTAATTTAACTATTTTACCTTTCTTTTCTTCTATCTTTCCCACAGTTGATTTACATGATTGATAAGGTAAAGCTTAATATTGATTCAAAAGGGATTCTTATTAGTAAGCTGTTTGTATAACTTTGCTTCTGAATTCTCAGACATGTTTAGAACTCCTTTTTTTAATTAAGTTGCTTGAAAAGTACACGCTCATTTTTTGTGCTTTTGGTAACTACTTTTATTAAACGACATGTTCAGGCTAATGATCTAACTGCTGGGAACTTCTTGGGTGCTCCTAAATGGTATTTGCCTCCAAAGTGAGTTGTACGTCTGCTTGCAAATAGCTTTGTAGTGTCCATTTTGTTTAATTTTATGTAACATTAGCTATCAATGTTTGAGACAAAAATCACATGACGGTAATTCATGGCAAGAGTAACTGAGAGGTGAATGTGATATAAATCAAAACAAATTACTTGCTTCATTCTCGGTCTTCCTGAGAACGGAACACTTTGCATGTTAAAAGACGTAAGTGTTCTTTCTTGTTCTCTGTCTCACTAGAAGTGATGTGTGCCATTAACTTACCAGCATCATAAAATATACTTCAGGAGTGTTTGTCATCTTTTCTCTCCCATTGTCTCGGAGAAGATGGTTTTAAATTTGCGCATAAAATCTTTAGAGGTCACTGAACTTTAATGAAATGCTTTTATAGCTGGAAGATGTTTTGTACTTAGTGGGAAAACGTGTTAAACTTTTTAAGTTTCTTTTTTTAAGTGTGTAGTTGAAATCCTTGTGTCTGGTCTTTATGAGAAACATTTAATGCTGTATGCCTATTATGTCTACTGCTTTGTTTGAAATCAGTAACTTTGCTAGAACTGGTTACTATTAGAAGAAGCCATTTTTGAGTATAAAAAGATTTTTGATTGGATTATTAATTTTCTGGCAATGCTGAAGCAAACTTCTTACCAAGCTTGGACAAGAATCACCTCTCCAAGGATTGTTAAAAAGAAGAGAGAACACTCTTTGAAATTTCTTAGGCTTGATGATTAAGGGCTTTTTGTGAAGGTATGATTAAAAAAAAAAAAAGGCAATTGATGTGGAAAATAAGTGTCTGGATTACTTTGAAGTAATTTACACTCCTTTCACATCCTAATGAACCCAAAGGAGAAGGAGTATCATTAAAAATTTAACAGAGAATGAGTTAAAAATTTAATTCTAAAGATGCTATCGATTTTTTTCCCGCTACAAAGGCAAATAGCATAATGAAGCTGAAGAAGACTTAAAGCCAGGATGTGTGAGCTTTGTCAGAGCTCATCCTCTCGGCCCATTAGTATGTACCCCAACCATCTCATGAAGATGCCCTAGGGAAGGGGTTGATACATGTTTACAGCTAAACCCCTAAGCAGGTTTATCCTTCACTACCACTGGGACAATGGAAGAGTAGAAAAATACCTATGAATTGAGAAACCTCACTCAGCCATGTTCATCTGAATCTTTCAAGGACTTAAACAGCAGTAAGAAGACAGACAAGGAAGCTACATTAAGCCATCAAGGAAAAACCTTCATCATAGTCCAGCACTCCTTCTGCAACATGACATCACCAAACGCTGAGCATAATTGGCAAGATGATTGCAAAAACATTGCCAGGGGATTAGATTTAAAACATAATAATTTGAAGGGATGTTGAAGTGCTGCTGTAATTTAAGGTACTAACAGTTTCTCCTGTTTAACACCAGGTTGTTCAGATGGTGTACTCCTGGAGGGGAGACATAAGCTAACCTTGGTTAACAGAAAGATAGTGGGATTTACTTTGAATTTAAAATTTCTAATATGCATTAATTAGCCTGTCTAAAGATCATTCCTTTTAAGTGAGACGGTGAGTTCCTAAGAAACATTACTACTTCTTTAAGTAGTTCTTGAATGGCTTCTTTAAGTAACCACATATAAATAATTCCTTAAGAAGCTGAGGATTTTAAGATCGTTTAAGCTGAACAGTTCTTGTGGGCACTTGTTATCCATGATAAATTTAACTCTCAAGTGAAATTCCCCCCCTCCTCCATGCTGTCTTAGTTGCGTCTACACCCTGTGGATACCATATATACTTAGCAAGGTGCTCAGGTGATTCTGAGATGCTTCCACCTTCTGCACTCAGTTGTTTTAACTCTGGGCAAAGATGATGCAAACCCTAAAAGTGATGTTAAGAATCTAATAAATTTAGCTCAGAGGAAGTAGTTCATTTCAGGCCTGTGAACTTCACACTATGATAACTGGAGAGCTGTTGCTTCTATCTGACTTTTATATGTTCACAGTGACTCTTAAAGATCAGTAAGAAACATGTGACTAAATGCAGAGTGTACCCCTAGATTGAAATTAGAGGGGGAAAAAGCCTGGCAAGATTTGGCCTGTTGTTGCAATGTGTTTTCTCAAACTTGTTTAAGTAGCTCTAGGGATGCAGTTAGTGGGTGCCTAGCTTCATCTTTCCTGCATCCTGAATTTGTGATAGTAACTTTGTTGACATTACTTGAAGTAGAAAAGGCTTAACAAGTACCATACCTCTTAAGTTGTGTATTTAAAAAAAACAGTAAATCAACCTGTTTAACAAGGGTGATTAAAAAAATTCCTTAATCTTTGAGTAGTTTGTTAAAGCAAACTGCATGAGTATTTGACACCAATATTATAGCCAGCTTATCTGAAAATTGCTTCAATGCCAGACATAGAGAGCTTTGCAGAATCTCTGACTGTAGATGTGGTCTTTTCTGTAACTTCATTTATTACTACTCTTCTGCAACTTCTGACTTCAGATCAGTGAAAATGTTTTTGTTTTTTTTTTAAAGGGCTTACTGGATTTGAAGAGTAGGTTTGACCGCTTTCTGCAAGAATCTTTCAATAATGATCGACTCTTCAAACAGACTATTGCGGGTGACTTCGAGTACTTCCTCAACCTCAACTCTAGGTCTCCTGAGTACCTCTCATTATTTATTGATGATAAGCTGAAAAAAGGAGTCAAGGGAGTAAGTATAAATGAAATTAAAAGATCATGCTCTTTGTCGTGTAAAATTGGATGAAATTAAAATAAGCTGCTTCTTGAAGAATTAATTGTGCATTAAGATAACTGGCAATACTGTCTTAAAAAAGAAGTATATGTAACATACTCTTAAAACTTTAGATAGAAACTTATAGAAACTTACAGAAATACAGAAATATAAAGCTCATGGAGATCTCGAGACGTTGTGTGGCTTGTCTGCTATCTCTGAAGCAGTATACCTAGATTACTTCTGACAGATACCTTGGCAGCTAACTGCCTTTGAAACCTTAAATATAATTTCCTTAAATATATTTATAGTTCGGCAGTAATTCTCAATATCTAACAATTTCTTTTTGAAGTTAAGTTGCTTGGGTAGAGGAAACAGTTTGTGCTTCCTTTTGCATATCAGAGGATTAATACCTATCTGTCTCTTCTATCTTAAGTGCAACTGTGTTCTTCAATCTTACTTCATAGCTTCTTTCATTAAATTTTTTGAGGTATAGCACCTAGAGCTGGATAGGATGGTTCAGCTGAGGCTTCAGTGCCTTTGAATAAAACTGAATATTATTGTATGCAGTTTATGCTTTAGCAATCAAGTAGTGAATTCTGCTTACTTATAAAATAAGTAATAATTTTATTTGTTGTGGCACTAGATAGGCTTTGCAAATGAGTCTTAACATATAAAATCTTTCATTCCAAGCTGACTTTCCATACTTACAGTACTGCATTCCATCTGTGGTTGTCTTTGTAAAAACTTACCCAGGAACTTCTACTATATTTATTCAGACATTCAACCCTTCTGTCGTCTTTCCTCTCCCTCACAGTTGCTTTTCCATCCATTTTTGCTTTTATCTCTTTCTCTACACTGACTTTATGCACTGTTCTTTTGGCTCTATCGTTTACATGTTGGACCAGTTTTGTAGGCTTCTTTATAAGCTACTGCTAGACCATATGCTTGCTGTGAATTACTTTAGGTTGTATAAGACACTTTTGCTAGAAGGTTTAAACCAGCAAATGATTTCCTTTACAGCTAACAGAACAAGAAGTAGAAACTATATTGGATAAGGCAATGGTTTTATTTAGGTTTATGCAAGAGAAAGATGTTTTTGAACGCTATTACAAACAGCACTTGGCAAGAAGACTTCTCACAAACAAGAGTGTTTCAGATGACTCTGAGAAAAATATGATATCTAAATTAAAGGTAAGACAACATCTGCATAATTTTACTTAATTTTCTCCCTCCCTCCTCCCCATAAATACAGCTTCTTCTGTTTTTACATAAGGAATATGTACATAACATACATCTTGATTGCTATTAAATACAAATTTGATTTTAAAGCCCCAACAGAAAATATGAAAGGCTTTTCTGAATAATTTTGTGGAATTAAGAGGAAGGAGATCTTGGAAAGCACCTGTGATGAGAGCACAGTCTAGAAAGCAAAACTAATATTTTTCACAGTTTAAGACTTTCCAAATAAGAGGACAACTCCTGTTATCTAGTGACTGGATTTGAAGACAGGGCTGTGCTTTATCCAAGGTTTTGTGTTATTCACAATAGAATTTTCTATTGCGTGCACAGTCTGTCTTTTTTAGTTGATTCCATCTGCAGACTGATGGTAATGCTCAATTCCTTTTTGTTTAAGTAGTTTGAGAGAGATTGGGGGGAAAAAATCTTTGTATCAGTGTCTGGAAACACGTTTCCCTTAGTTGCTTCCATTTACTGATTTAATAGGCCAAGAGATGGAGAAGAAAGTAAAGCCTAAAGGTGAAGCAAGTTCTAATGCAGCAGCTTCCTAAGTGGCATGATAAATGGCTAGGAAACTTCCAAACCAGAGTGTTTGAATCTTAAAATCAAACTTTACTGACCCTCATTTTTGATCTTTATATTCTGTCAGTGAGCAAAGCCTGTTTGCATCAGATTACTCCAAATTATCAGTTTTAATTAGAAATTATCAATATTAATTCCTTCACAATTACCTCTCTACCCCTTCTAGCCTGGTGGTTTAGAAGCACAGAGCATATGTTTGTGATATGAGCCATCCATTTTCTTACGTGCAATGATTAGGATGCTGAAGCTCATGTGCTTGTCTTTGACATATACATCAAAGTTTGTGTTAGAAACAGACACAAAGTCTTGTGTGCATAACTGAAATATGTGTGTTGGCATTTCCTTTTATGAAATATGAAACTTAGAATAGGTTCTGAAGGTAATGCAAATGGGAATCCCAGTAATAAAATGCACAAAATATAATTTTAGTGAGATTTATAAACTACCTCTTAGTCTTGCCATTCACCTATCAGAACATTCCTAGTGCTGGCACAAGAAGTTATTTTTTGTATTTTCAGACTGAATGTGGGTGTCAGTTCACGTCTAAACTGGAAGGAATGTTCAGGGACATGAGCATCTCAAACACAACGATGGATGAGTTCAGGCAACATCTTCAGGCGACTGGGGTAAGAGTGGGGGTCTGTGTGATTGTTCTTTTACTTCAGTGCAAACCATGGACTTCTATCAAGGCTTGTAGTTTTAATTTGTTAGTATATGCACGTGGGAAGAAGGATTTTGTTAGCACATTCCAATTGTATTTCTTTTACTGTGCTTGTTATCTTATAAACTTCGTTACTATTTCTCGAAATGCAAAAGTCAGTTCGAAGCTTGAATAGTGCCAATCTCGTTCCATAAAATCCGGTTTCAACTTCCACTCTTATCGACATTGTTTTGCAAGGGCCCCGCAGCAGGAGCCCAGGCGCAGACCCA